GCTTTGGACGAGATAGCACTCGGCAATTTTTCTTTCTTTTTATTTTCCGAACCTTTTTTTATAGGCTCCGGAAATCTGAGATGACGAGAAAATGGGCTTAACACTTCTTTAACTTCCACAGTTTTTGTAGGGGTTTTTTCTTGGGACCATTTTGGTGCGTAGTCCTTAGTTTCAGCTTCAGTTTGTAGATTCTTTAATGGCGTTCTTACTTCCTTTTTCGTATAAAATGTTTCGACATTTATCGATACACATTTTTCTTTATCTCTTTCTTTGTTTTTAATTCCTGCCAATTCCGTTTTATTACTTTGCTCGTTCTCTTGCGTCTTTAAATTTGTCTCTTCTTTTTTATAAGCTGGTACCTCTGTTTCTTCTGCCTGCTCCAATTTATCATTTATTGTTTCATTTTTCTGTGTAGTGTCATCTTTTTCATTTTGAACATCTAGATCGGTAATTTCTTTTTTTTGTTCAGATTTTTCATGCATTTTGCCTTTCTCTTTCACAAATCTCTCTTCTTCTTCTTTATATTGAATTTCCGTTGTTTTATTTTTAGTGGTATATTCATTTTCCTTTTCTGGCTGTTCGTTTTTATCATTTACTGAGTCATTTTCATCCATTCCTTCAATGTTACTTTTGTCGTTTTGACTATCTGGATCAATATTTTCCTTTAGTTCTTCCGATTTCTCCTTAGTTTTGTCTTTGTCCTGCTCAACCTTTTGTTCAATATTAACGCTTTCTTTGTCAGTTTTCTGTTCGCCATTATTAGTTTGTTCTATAGTACAATAACGAGCACAATCGCCATTCAACGCTTCCATTTCACAAGCATCATATTTGTCAGTATTTAGTACTTCGTGTTGGGGTTCTTCAAAAAACTGATTTATAGAGATATTATCGAATGCCATTAGATTTATTTCTTCAACAGGAATAATCTGCAGTGACTCCATAGGTACTACGGTTCCTACTTCCAAAGGAAAAGTATTTAGATTATCCGCAATCGTATCCTGCTTATTGATGGTAATATTGCTTATAACATGTATCTTTTTTTGTTCTTGTCTCACATTTCCGTCATTGTTAACACCAAATGTTATATCATTTATTGCTTTATAAATTATGTCCGTGTTAATACCACTATTTTTTAATTTCTTTTCTAAAATTTTAATGACTTTTTTTGCTGCTTGGGCTTCCTCACAGCTTATTTTTTCTGCATGCTCCATGCTATCGTGTTTTCTTTCTAATTCATTTTTACACATTTAGTGTAGTCAACATTGTTTGGATTCAAAGGAAACAAGCCACACTTTCGGAAGCCATTTTTAATACATGGTTGCATATCTGCTTTATCTAACGCCTGCTGAAATACTTGACAAAAATTTATCTTTGTGACAGCGGTATTCACGTCTTGTTCACTTTGCCATAGTCGAATGGTCTTCTTCCATTCATGTTTTAATGGCCTAAACACACTAACATCAGCCGGTTGTAGGATGTGAGTAGTGTTTGGAGGAAGTGCATACAAAACTACTCCATTTTTTTCACAAAATTCACTCAGAAATATATTAAGGTGTGATCTGTGTCCATCAATAAACAATATTATTGGCTTCTTAATATTATTGTCTTTAAGCCACTGGTTAAAATCATTGCAGATATATTCGTAAAACACGTCGCTTTTCATCCACCCACTTTCAGATTTTCCCAGCACCCAATTCTCTGGCATATTATTTATCAATGCTTTCGGAGGCCTCACGTAAGGAAAAACAACAAGTGGAGGACATATATTACCACTGGCATTAAATGTTACGAGCACTGTTAATGTTTCTTTTTCGTTGCCTTGTTTAATTGAATAAACGTTTTTATATCCACGGGGAGCAAGAACTTTTCCGGTTTTCGGACACAATGAAAAACCTGATTCATCGCCATTAAAAATTCGGGAAGGGTCTTCCATGATATCCATAATATTGTTTTCTTTTAAGAACTGTTCTAGTTCTGAAAACCAGGACTTAATATATTCTTTCGTGATGACTGCCCTCGCTTTGTTAATACTCTCGGACTCACGTAATCGTATTTCTGGGTGCCGTTTGATGAAACACATATACCATTTTTCTCCAGGCCTGTCATTTTTGAATTTTTCAATTTTTCCGTTTTCTGTTGCTATTTTAGTTACTGTTTCTATTAGTTCTTGCTTTTTTATTGGGAATCCACACTTGGCCAGACTTATGACCCAATCCCTAATGCGTTTTTCTCCTTCGACAGTCATGATTGGCTCTGGGCCCGTTTTACGTAAATTGTCTGGGGTTTTCCCCGACACCCTGTCTTGGAGAGTGGTCCTGGGCACACTATAATGTTTCGCAGCCGTTCTTGTGCTCATTTTGCCCTCTCTTACAGAATTTAGTGCAAGCATTAAATTTTCTTCCGAGTACCGGAACAGTTTTCTTGCCTGCGTTGACATATTTAATTTTTTGCTGTGCTTAGTGGTGGCCATCTGGAAAAGAATAATTTAGTAAGTATTTTGCGTCAAATTATATTTTTCAGTTTTGGGGATTCCCAAATTTATTTAAAAGAACACGTAGTTAGATACAAAATAATTAAAAACAAATCAAACCTTTAAAGTTAAAGTTAATGGCCGAGAAAGGGCCAATTTACCTTTTCTCGGTCGCTAGTTTAAACTTTTTTATTTGCCGCGTTTTTTTAGATAGCCCGGCCGAAAACTGGCTATTTTGTAGTACTAACTGTCTTACATACGCCGGTAAAATGGTTACGACTTATTATCAAGTCGTGACACAAACGAAGACAAACAATATTTTGCTTTTAAGACCGGCTCTCGGCCACCTCGGTCGAGAAATGGTTTGACAGTTTTAATTAAGCCAGTTTACCGGCCACCAAACAAAACATTTAAAATTCATGATTTATCAGTTTGGCTCTAAATATAACAATAGCTGAACATATTACTTATCTAAAAATAATAAAAACTTACCTTTAGAATCAGTATTTTACAAAATAATCACTATTTCCGCATGGGGTGCACACTAACAAATTTTTAAATAACGACCACATGTATACATCTTCGTCCATAGCCAACTTTTAAATGACGTTTGTTTTACATACGCAAGCTTGCAAAAATGGCGTTTAGTGCGAAGTGGGGGTAAAGGGAGTCTGAAGTGAGGTATATCTCAGAAATCGCGGTTCCACTCAAAACTTCTAATTTATTCACTATATTGTCTGAAAATGACCGAGAACTGGTAGTGGCCGGCTAACTGGGCGATTATTTTACCCAAGGTAGCCAATTATTTTATATTTAGTATTATGAACGTGCTGAATAAATAAAATAAAATTACACGATTTTTTTACCTGTTTCTTGTATTTTTTTAAAAATTCTTTTCTAAATTCTTTCAGGGTTTGGTCGATTAAATCTAATTCTTGAAGTACAACCCCATAATTAGCCAAAATAGTCTTTTAACTATGAACTTGTTCAATTTTTGAGCACGAGCAGGCAGGGATTCAGGTTTTTGTGCTTTCCTGTATTCGATATTCCGGGTGTCTTTGCAAAAATCTCTTTAACCAATTAACGGTCCAGCCATTTTGGGTTCCTTGTTGAAAAAAAGTGTGGTCCAAATTGTTTTGTTTACAATAAGTAAAACACACCATTTTTTTAAAGTTTAATTGCTGAGGGGATACCCTAACTTCTGCCAATCTAACAATTTCGTCGAGACAATTCGTTTTTCTTGATCTATATTCAAAATAGTCTTTCTCCCATTTTTTGCCTTTTTGGTACTATTTTTTTTCTACATAGCGTTTCAAGTGCGTCTAGAAATATTATACCTTTGACTTGCCGCATTGTATGACATTCCATTCATTACTTGCTGCAGTTGCGGATTCTAGCTGTTGATTGTTCCATTGCGACCGTATTTCTTATTTCTGACACGAGGCCATGTTATCTAAAACAAAAAAAATCAATAAATTATCTGTTTAATTAGCTTGGCAATATGCCCAATTGAGCAAATTGTCAGCATACACTATGGGCATATTGTTGACACATGATGATTAATACATTTCTTTAATTATAAAAACATTTTGAATAATAATAATATTTATTTTTAGTTACATTTTAACTACTCTATGGCAGACTAAAATCACTTAATGTCGTAGACGAAATTAAAACGTTTAAGTGCAAAACAGATGTGAAAAACTGACGTCATTTTTATAAAACACGCTCTTAAAAAACCACGTACAACTTGACTGCACTACGGCAAGCTCACAACTACCTTGAGGTCGGTCACGGGCTTAGTTATATTAGGCGTTTCAGTGTGTCTAGCGCCTCCTTTCCCCGAATATCAAATATTAAAGCAAAACATGGAAATGGGCATATTACCAACATGGGCATCTTGTATTCGGTACCTTATTATAAATATTTGTTTCTCCACCAGTAGAGACAATATTCGGTCATCAAAAAAAAAATAATCGCCAACAAACCCAATTCACTTCTGGCGCCTTTTGCGATTTGGCTTACAACACCTGGCAAATGAGAAATTGTATTTAGATAAAAATATACTGCACGATTGTCACAATTTATATATATTATACAAATTCGAGAGGAATTTAAAAAAAAATGAAGTGGCACATGAAACACTGGTTAATATAATAGCAAAAAAATTATTACATAACCTGACTTACCATTATAAAGTTTTCGCTTTCGGCGCCCACCATGTCTTCTGTATCTACGTCGTCGATTTCATGATCGGTATCAGAATCCATCGACCGTGTCTCCAGATAATCCTCTGTTGACGATTCATCTGATTCGTTCCAAATCTTCTTGGGTAAAGTATTGTGTCACATTCAGTTTCTTCGAAAACAAGACGATTAAGCTCTTCTACGTCTACTGGATTATCAAGTTTGTTAACTACAAATACTCAATTTCCTCAAAAGTGTCGCCAAATTAATGAATAAAATACTTTTTGGACGTCATCATCATCAATCAGCCAATCGCAGTCCACTGCTGAGACATAGGCCTCGCCTCAGTCTTTCCAGTGTTCTCTTACACTGGGCCGCTTGTAGCCCGTTTTTTTCCCGCTACACAGTTTAATGTCATCGGGTCCATCAAGTCGGTGGTCGTCCTCGGCATCTTTTATAATTTCTTGGGCCTCCATTCCCATAATAACGTCTTGTCCCACCCGTCCAACATGTGTGTGTCTGGCTAAGTGCCCTGCCCAGTTCCACTTAAGGCGTCCGTGGTTCTTTCGATGACGTCTTGAACTCCTGATCTTCGCCTGATATGTTTGGTTTGTTATGTGGTCTCGAAGGCGTAGCGTGTGAGGTACTCTTCCAACAATCCCAGTGGAGGATAGACTTACTACAGGGATGCGGATCCTGCCTTAGCGCGGAGCCTTGATTCTCCTCTCAACTCCTGTGGAGAGAAAATCATGTCCTGAAACCCCATTCCTCACCCAAATATACCTACTATCCTATACCACTTTCCCAAACCAACTCACCAACCCGCCTGGCAAGCAGTGGTGTTTAAAACGCCAGAAAACCCCCCTCAGCAGGAACAGCTCTTTTGACGTAATTTGTCACAAAATAAGTAAGGTCGATTATTCACAAAACACACTATTCAGCGTCAGTAAAAGACAATAAGCACTAGTATATAACTCTCATACGTCACAGCAGACGTACCAAATAGCACTGACGTGGTTGAGCGGGCTAGTTCCGGCGGACATATTCTGTGTACGGTCGAATTTATTCGCAATAATATTCCGGAAAATCTCGGCGGTTAGTGGAATGTTACTTCGGCAGGTAAAAGAAGACTGATGATCATTAGATGTCATTTAGGCTCAATGATATATATTAATTTTATTTTAAATTACAGGCAAAAAACTGGGGTCTAGGTCCACTGGACCTATGCCCGACTAATGAAGGGTTAATTTACCAAACAAGCATCACCTTCTAAAGATGCTCTTAAATAGTGCAATTTTTGTACATCACTAACTTAAATCATTCTCGTGAATTCACGACCCAAATATGTCCCTGAATTCAAGCCAATTTGGATACGACCATCAAATTTAGGTAAATTAATTGTAGGTAGACGTACATTATATAAATCCATCCCAGTATTTGCAGCCTCAACATTTAAACTTTGATTGCTATGAGACCTGTCAAGAGTATCTCTTGTGTTTATTTAAAAATGCTTTTGCAATGGAGACCTGATCATAAATTTCATCATCGAAATTATTTCGAACTTCAAATTCGTCCTCTAGCAATCCCTCGTCAACCATAGATTTGACTGCCCCCTGTATATCATTGAATTCTCTCTTTATTTCTGTTTAAAGAATTTACGCCCGATTTCATAATCAATTTAAAGTAAACTTTAAAGTAAAGTTCACTTTAAAGTATAAATTTCAGTTTCATAATCCTGTAACCTTACTTTAAAGTTCACTTTAAATTAAATGGTAGAAATCTGTCAATTACGCGTAGTCCACTTTAACTAAACTAATAAACAGTTTAACCTCAAAATTTTTATATCCTCTTGCTACAAGTTTGTTTACATTCTTATTTTTTTTTCAAATTTAAAATGAATTTTTCTACAAGTTCAGATTCTCCTGAAGATGAATTTATATATGTCCGCTGCCCTAAAGTTTATAGGGAAAGAATAAATTATATAAACCAATATGATGATGTAAGTTTCTATGAAAGATTTAGACTGACAAAAGAAACAGTTATGTCCTTACTGGAACAAATCGAACATTTAATAAAACTTCCAACAAATAGGTAAGTAATACTGTTAAGATATAATAAAATTTATGATCACATTAACATTGGTGGATACAAAAATCATTAAAAAGTCAAACCAACAATGTTAAAATGTGTATAGATAAAAATATTAATAAGAACATATTTTTAGGGGAGGAGCTGTTACACCACTCCAATAATTATTATTGACATTAAGATTTTTTGCTTCTGGAAGCATGCAAGTATCAGTAGCTGACTACATGGGTATATCAAGGGCAACAGCATCCAGAATTATCAAAAGAGTTTCTGCAGCAATTGCATCATTAAGCAGACAGTATATTAAAATGTATGAAACAAATGATGAAATGGTCCAAGCTGCAGAAGCCTTTTATGCCATTGCACGATTTCCAAGATGCATAGGTGTCAATTGATTGTACTTTAATACGAATAGATTCTCCTGGAGGTGTAGACGCAGAAATATATCGTTCAAGAAAAGGATTTTTTGCGTTAAATGTCCAAACAATCAGTGACTCTAGTTTAAAAATTAGAAATATTGTCGCACGATGGCCTGGTTCTGTGCATGATCAAAACAATATTTAAAAATAATGGCATAAAAGAAAGATTTGAAGCTGGAAATTTTGGTAGATTTGTACTAGTTGGTGATAGTGGTTATGGTATAAAATCATATTTAATGACCCAGCTACATGATGCTAGAACAGAAGCAGAAAATCTTTACAATGAATCTCTCATAAGAACCAGGAATGTTGTGGAAAGGCAATACGGAGTATGGAAACGACGGTTTCCAATTTTAAGAAACGGAATGAGGCTGAATTTGGATGTAACTATGAATGTAATAGTAGCTATCAGCAGTACTGCATAACATAGCTATAGAAAATGGAGACTTGTTTCCTGTAGATCTTAATCTAGATCAACAGGAAGATAATTTGCCTCAATTTCAGGGAAATCTAGATAATGGAAGACATTATCGTGAATTATTTATTAGACAGCATTTTGCAGAATTGTAGATTTAAAATTTCCAAAAAATATTGTCTATAAACCAATTGTTGTGTTTCTGAAGTAATTTTAAATAACACATGTATTAGTTTTATACTTAATCCCATTAGCGCCCAAATTTTTTTTTGTAAAATCTTTACTTTTAGGGTTAATTAGATGAAAATGTTAATAATTTAATCCAAAAAAATAAGTTTTTCGGTTTTCATGTCTTTTTTAAAAAAAAAATTACATGGTGTTACCATATGGTAACGCTGGGCGCTTAAGGAATTTTTAGGATCGTTGAAATAAAAATTTTTAATTTTTTTTTAATATTTATTTGACAATATTTTTATCGTCTGGTGTGGTATCCTATAAAACAATTAACACACAAACCAACGTTGCATTTTTGGCACATTGTTCGTCCAGATGTTGTGCATCCTTCACCAGCACATCGCCTTCTACTGCTTGGTGTAACGAATGATCGATGCGATCAAAACGAAGATCTGGCAAGTTCTGTCTATGTAGACTAGGTCTTCCTGTATATAAGGGAGGACTTCCATATCTTGCGAGAAGAACTTGGGCCAATTCTCTCCTAAACGATAGCAAGGATATATCTTTTTAATTTTTTTTTATATAAATGCCATGAATTATGGACTGCAACATCCAACAACCATGTTACAATTGGCCAGTACCATTTTTTACTGCGAATTGCTACTCGGTAGGTTGAAACACCTTGATCCATCAAGTCGGTACCCCCCATATTTTTATTGTATTCAGCAATACAGTGAGGCCGACTTACTTGAATATGGCGTTTTTCTTCATGAGAAAATCTTTTTAACGTGCCCAATGCTGAACCACCACAACTCGTAGATGCCATTGTGACAACAGAGTTATCTTTCCATCGCACCAGTAAGATACCGCTGTTTTTTTCTATTGTATGTTGTGAATAGCCACGATTTCTTTTAGAAAACTCCTTCTTTTTTTCCAAGGGACAGCTAGATGGAATTCTGTGTTCTCTAATTGTTCCAATTGTGCCGTACCCCAAAAATCGTAGGTAACTAAATAAATTAAATCCTGAAAATAGGTTGTCAACGTGTAAATTGTAGTGTAAATCTGAGTGATTTATCTCTTCAAGCATTCGCACCAAAGGGGATGAACACTTGCCAAAAAGTTTATCGTATTGTTCATTTGAACGTGGATTTCTTCCTTGGTATAGGTCAAAGTTTACCAGATATCCAGTAGAAGTATTTAGCGATCACATTTTATAACCAAAGCGGATTGGTTTATTTCGTATAAATTGTTTACATTGATGGCGGCCATAATAATCTTTATCATAGACTCGTCATATGATAGATTTATTTGTTGGAAGCAAAACTTTGGATTTGCAGAAATCTTATTTTATACTCTGTCAATCAAAGGTCGATTCTTTCTCATGCATTTGTTCCAATAATCTTCAGGCTTTGTAATTATTGCGAAATGCAAAAAACCTATTGAATTTGCAGAGAATCTAGTTTGGTCTACATGTGCATATCGTAGGAAACTTCGTAAGTAGTTTCTGTCTACATTCATCATGAAATATACCAACATACATTCTCTTGGCAAAGTAAGGTAATGAATATTTACCCGAAAATAGCATGAAGCAAGTATACGTAAAAACTAAACGTATTTCATCCAGATTGTAACTGACAATGAGGTCAGTTTGTTTACAAATTTAGACAGTATCGTTGTAGATTCTTTTTTCGCTAACGTTTAGTTACTTGTTATCTATCAAAAAATATACTGAACATATATCAAGGACATGATAGATTTTCATACCTAGAATAATCTTCTTCTGGAAACGAAAAACTTGCAGACTGTAAGTCTCCTTGAACCCAAGCACAGTTTTTCATTAATACATCTTTTCTTTCATTTTGCCATAGTTGAAACGATGCTCTAGTTTCTCTTTCGGGTGTCTCCACTACTGCTTGTAACTGTAATAGAAATAAATTTTAAACCTAAGCAAATTAAAAAATTACTGGTTATACTTACATCTGTCTGCACTTCTTCATTGTCAGTACTGATCCTTTCGTTGCTAGAAAGTTGTATTTCTGCTTGCGCTCGTAGCTGCCTACCTGTAAAAATAAACAATTATAATATGTACGTATATCATTATTTGTACAACTAAGCACCTGTTAGGTTATTTATGAATCCACCTTCATCTTCATTCGCAGAGTCCTCGTCTGTATCAGCACCATTTACATCTGGCGGTATTATAAAAATATTATCGACTTGCTCAGCAATTTTTCGTCACCGTAAACCATATCAGCGCTTCTGCTAACGAAATCACGACTGAAAAAAATTAATTATGACTCCGTAAGCCCCACGCAACCATATGTACGGGTACTTTGACTATTCCTACCAAATTCGCTATATTTAATTGTTGATAAAATACAACAATTTATAATAAGTTGGAGTATAATAAACTTAGTTTTTTTTTTAATATGCAAGTATAGTTACTAGAAGACTGTCAAAAATTACTTACGCAAAACGGACGTCCATCTTTATCTATAAACTCAAACCACACTGTCATATCGATTATCTCTCGACGGTTGAGAGAAGACTTAAAATACGAATCCGTTACGTTTTATGGGTGCCTGAAGTATTCCTAGAAACGATAGTTTTCAAAATATGTCGCTGACTAGTTCCATGGGCGTACCGCAGAATTTTTAAAAATCATGTGTTTTACGTTACCATATAGTAACGGTGGGCGCTAATGGGTTAAGTACTATTTTATTGTGTATAATTGTATTATTTTAATTTTTAGTTTTACCTTTTTCAAGATAAATTTTATAAGATATGATTCTCAATTTCAGTAAATTTACATTTGTATAATTCTACCTATATTTTTATGTATAAATGTATTAGATTTATTTTCATTTTTATTGAGATAAATTTTATAGCATATTATGTAGTAATATTATTGTAGTATGTTAATTTATAATTTTAATGATTGCACCTATATATATATTATGAATAAATGCATTAGTTTTATTTTTACTTTGACCTTTGTCAAGAAATTTTATAGGATATTATGATCCCAATTTCAGTAACTTACATTTTTATAATTGTACCTGTTTATGTTATTATGTATAAATGTATTAGCTCTACTTTTACTTTTACTTTTGTCAAGAATAAATTTTATAAGATATGATGGTCAATTTCAGTAATTTACATATTTATAATTGTTGTACATATTTATTAATTCGACAATGTCTGTACTGTGTTCTTAAATTTTTTGAATAGTTTCAATCTACTTGTAGAATATAAGGGACATTAAAACACAACACTTTTTGTACACTATATTTATTATAAATCTTGTTGAGCCAAAGTTTTTTGTTTTAATTTTAATTCTATTTCTAATATTTTAATTTTTTAGTCTTGTTCCTTTATATCCCTTTCATGTTTAGCCTTTTCCCTCTCTTCCTTTTCCTTTTGCCTTTGATTGTCCTCAATTAATACTTCCAGCTTGTGTTCATAATATTTTTTTTTGCCTCAATGGCAGGATTGAATACTTTAGGCCTCAGCTTTTGATGGGCTGTTTTTTTTTTAATTTTTCAGGAATATACTTGTTCCAGTATTTTCTGGATGAATCCTAAAAACAAGAATTATTTAATTACTACTGTACCTTTTTATTACATCATTACTACCTGTTCAAGTACTTCTAAAGTAATTTTGGAGTCTGTATTGTTATCACTATGTTGCATGTCTGTATCAAGTTCATCTTTTGATGTTGTTGACGATTCTTCAACAATTAAGATCTAAAAAAAGTGTGTTAGAAAAGATTTCTACGACCTTTATATAAATATGCATACGTTATTGACATCCATTTCAAATAATTCTCTATCATTTTGTATATCCTAAAACAATTAAAATGAATAATTATGTTATAAAAAGCCTGTTTACACTTATTACTTTATTGATTTCAATAGAATCAGAATCAAATTCTGCAGTCAAACCCATCACAGTTTTTAAATTCATCAAATCCAGTACAGCATCTGTACTGGTGCCTAAATTAAAACTGGTGCATGGGCCGCCACCAGTCCCCCCTTGGTAGCATCTTAACTTGGCAACTTCCTTTCTTGCCTTGCTCTTAATGTTATCATACTTGGCCTGTACTTGATCCAGTATCCTGGAATGAAAATTTTTTGCATTAAAATTAGCCACAATTATTTCCAAGCATTTTCCTACAAATGTAAATTTTATTTTTCATATATAAACAAAAATATATATAATAAAAACTAACCTTCTGATTCCAATTTAGTTTATTTGTCGTTTTACATTCTATAATTTACTTATACTTAGAGACTTCCTCAATGAGTAAAAGTTCCTCCTCTTTCGTGAAATTCACAGAACGACTTCTTTTCGCTGCAGACATAATTATCAACTAACTTAACAAACAATTAACAACTAACTTTTAATACCTAACTTTACAAACAGTTAACAACTAACTTTATAAACAATTAACAACTAACTTTAACTTTACAAACAATTAACAACTTTTACAAACAATTTTAAGATTCAAAGGATATACTAGGTTATTTAGATTTCGACAAAAACCCGGCAAATTGGACACAAACACGATACCAACCTACAAATTAAACACTAAAGTTGACTTTTACTAAATGAAAAGAGCAGTACGTATTATGAAACCGGGTGCGGACACTACAGTGCAACTTTAGTGTAAAGAGAACATTCATGTTTAAAGTGTACTTTAGGTTGGTTGGTTCAGTTATGAAATCGGCGGGCCGTGTTAGCCTTGTTATCATATCACAAATAAAGGTATGTACGTCGTGACCTATTTTCTTTTTGGCACTTAAGCGCTCCTATAAATTTAAGCAAAGTGTGTTAGATTTGTTGCCTTTAAATCACCTCTTTTTAAAGTTTATATATGTTGCTAAATCAGTCATTTTTGATTTTACATAAATATTCTAGAAATATAAATATTTAGCTGTTACAGCAGT